TCTCTCTCTCTCTCTCTCTCTCTCTCTCTCTCTCTCTCTCTCTCTCTCTCTCTCTCTCTCTCTCTCCCTTCGCCCTGCCCCTCTTAATCTCTTGCTCTCTCTCGCGCGTTCGCTTGCTCGTAGATTTAGCGGTTGTGATTACCCGGGAAGAAGCGGGGTGCTCTCTCTCTCTCTCACAAGAGGAAACTTCGGCAGCGGGAACGAACGGCTGCAGTGATGAAACGTGACATGGCATCGACTTCCTCCTCCTCCTCCTCCACCTACGTCGTCTTTTCCTCCTTGTCCGTCTTCTTCTCTCTGTCATCGACTGTGCTATGGCTGTCGATGGTTACTCCGTTCGCGTTTTTCGTCGTTTTCGGGGAAGGAGGTGACGTGGCAGTCGCGCCAGGTTCCGATGCCGCGATCCAGATCCCGTCTCCGGAATCTCCCGACAACCCCTTCGCTCTCTGCGACTTCTATTTCGAGGGACATCCCAACCTCACGCTGACTTTTAATGTATCATCAGCAGAGGAGATCAGGAATGCTACGCTCTGCGATGGACAGGATTCTGTCCAGGCAAGTGGAGAAGATGCAGCAGGAGGTGGTGTAGGTGGTGATGGACACGTGTCAGCACAGAGTATTGCTTCTCAGTCTCTGCAAAGTCACTCTCCATTGCAGCAGCCGCAGCAGCGTAAATCGTCACCGACCGCCTGCCGTCGATTAGGAGGTCCAATCGTATCCAGATATGGTCCACGTGTCATTCACAGCTTGTCAGACGGTTGTCTGTTTGTGACGTGGCATCTGGGTTTCTTCAACTCCTGCGGTGAGCAGTTCTTCCTGAAAGGCGGTGATCTGTATGCGGGAGATCTGCATAGTCCTGTCGACTTCACCGACAACCCAATCTTGATTCGACTGCGCAGCGCTCTGCTCGAGACGGAACACCCTTCTCCTCTTCCTCCTCCTCCTCCTCCTCCTCCTCCTCCGCCTCCTCCTCCTCCTTCGCTAAGAGCACCGGCGATGTGGTTGACGTCATTGGAATCTGATTCTCATCAGCAGTCGGTGTCATCACCGAGTGATCAACAGTCAGGGTCTGTATTCCGACCAGCGACGATGGTGTTACGAGAAGGAGACGACAATCAGGGTCTGTATCCCGACCAGCGACGCTGCGTCGTATTCTATGCCACTGTCTGATTATCCT